GTAGCTCATTACTGGCGTTCACCCTGTTTTGCTCTCCTATTACTAGTTTTGCTTCGCCACACCAAGATGTCCTCCTCTTCAGCCCAGCCAGTCGACCTCACAGTCACTAGCACTCAACGACTGTAAAAATATACTAGCACAACCCTCAAAATCCTAATCTGTCCCACAAAAGCTAGATTCATGAATCAACGACCTCTCGATGGTATCATCACGAGTAGTGATCTCGAAGTTGATGATGCAGAAAAGCGCTGGAGCCACTTTCGGTCTCGCATTTGGCCACAAAATCGCGGGCACGAGGTGCACCAGTCTAAACCTGGCCAGGTCCGTGCCAGTTGTGGGCCCCTGGAGCGAAGAGAGTGTTGTTGTCATGGGTGATGCAATTAGAGTGAAGGCTGAGCGCGTCTCCGTGATCCTAAAGCACGCGTCCCCTCCAAAGTAGTCGAACGGATGGCTTCATCGATTCAACATTCGGCACGGACTAGGCAGCAAGAATGCTGCACAGCATTTGTGCAGTTATGACTGCTCCCATAGTTAAGCACCCCAGAATAGAAATATTTGACTTCAAATGTATTCCATTTCGCAACTGGGGGGGGGGGGTGAGAGTGAATATTATATTGTGTTTTAAGAACTGGTCATCTGGATCCGAAAATTAATTGCTGTTGAGGGGAGAATCCAAACCTTGGGATTACTACCGAGGGGATAGACGACAATCTATGGCTGCGTGCACCACACCGAAAAGAGGCAATGATAGTAATACGTGTGGCCCACATGAATTTGCATGAGGTGGGTTCATTTTTAGGTCGCACTTTACAATGACAATCCACTAGTCCTCGCTCTGACTTCGCTGAAACCAAAAGGCCGTTAGCTTAACGTGCTTAGCGCATTCACTATTAATACCGCGCTTGGTAAGTTGGTGGTGCAAGCAATGAGGAAAACAGCAGAGCTGGAGCATTTTGTACACATGGCGGGAAAGTGTAGATACAAATTTGGCGGAATAATTCACTCATCAACAAGCGTTTCGAGCTCGACGGTTGAACTCCTACCGTAGCGATCCTTTGGCAATGATTTCTCGAACGCGAAAACCAGAAAATCAACCGGTGTATCCCATATCCAATTCCCCGTTAGGTCGAGTCTATCCGTTAGTTTTTCTTGGACAGAAGCGTTTGATCATGGGAAGCACACAACCACTTCTGGCAGTGTAATCCACAGAATTGATCGGATTGCTCGAAAAGGGGTGTTGAATCGAACCCGTCTGTGTGCAAACTCTGCGATACTCCCTCTCACTTGGTTTCACTATCGCAGAAATACTAATCGGCCCTCCGCTTGGCTTTCCTTCCTTCAAGATTGCCTTCAATTGGGCAGATTCCGGTCGGTTGCCTGTATAGGGATTTCCCACCGACACATCAAGCAGCTGGTCAGTCGCTGTTACCTTCGCGCACTTCATTCAGCAAAAGCAGCCAACAGCCCCACCTCAGACCTCAGAGTAGGGGCGCCCCTCCAGCACCAACCTTCCATCAATGACCCGCCGGCAGTCCCCGAGTAACAGCAACGTGCGTCGGCGCACACACACAGGCATCGGTGCGTCCACACTGTCTGCGCCCACCTCTGCCACCAAGAACCGTCGCTACAGTCTGGACCAGACCGTCTCGTCCGTTATCTACTGCGAGGGCTACGCGCGCATCAAGCGCCGCAACGTGTTGACCTGGAACACGCGTTTCCTCGTGCTCAGCAACACAGAACTGCTTGTATTCCAAAACAAGCAAGATGCCAGCTACCGCCGCAACGTCCTAGAGACACAAGAGCTTGCCAGCGGCCGAGTGGCGTCCAAGAACGACTTGGGAATCGAGTTCACCTTCACGGACGGACGCGAACTGCTTGCTCGCGTGTTCAGCCGTGCTGACCAGGCCCAGTGGGTCTCCGCTTTCTACCAGTTGGCCATGCGAAGCGAAGTGCGTCGCGTCAAGAGCGCCTCCATGGAGGAGCAGGGCGACACGGCTGCGGTTGAGAAGCGCCGCGTCTCGTTCTTCGGCAGTGTACTGGTGCGCACTATCCCCACAGTGCCGGATGACCAGGTGCCGGAGCTCTTCTACAGCAAGAAAGATGTGGAGAAGTTCTCGGAGCAGGCCTCGAGTCTGCGGAGCCGCACGGGCGACGCTGTGTCGCTCGTATTCAGGAAGCCCACGTTGCCCTGGCGCCGACAGGTCGTGTAAGCCGAGCACATTCATCGTCTTTGATCTATTTATTAGCAACCGCGTTCCGTTGGGGAGAGCGTGAACCGTGTGGTATTAATTGACGATCCCTGCGTGTTATAAGACCATTACATAATGAACTTGATACCCGAACTCCGCTTGGTTCTCCGAGTCCGCGTGGTGCAATACAGACGGTCGTCGAGACGCTTTTAGAACGGCGCTTGATCAATAGACGCGCTGAATTGTGGTGATGAAGTCGAGAGACTCGTGTGGATTCGAAAAATGCGGGCGGCGGTTTTACCAGAACACAAGCAGCATTCCATGTGTCCTGCTTGTCGAGCATGCTTGATCAATCTGCAATCGATTCACGCGCCATTGCGAGAATGATACCCCACGGCTATTATTACGCAGTGCTTCTCCATCGCAGATTCGACACGCACGGGTGCAGACGAAGACTATCCATACGGCCGTGGAAGATTCTGTCCGGTCGCGCACTCGAACCTAGTCAGTTGGGCTTCCCCTCAGAGGATGGCCGAGGTTGTGGGCCACCCAAGACACGCATTTGTGGCTCTGAGTCGGCCATGCGGTCGTTGAGCAGAGACTGTCGGCCAGACCACATCCGGACAGCTCTTCTGGACACGGCAAGCTTTGCACGCGCCTGTTCTCTTGTCCCTAGGGG